AAGTGTCCAAACTTTTGACTGGTACTGTACTATAATATACACAAAGAATATCGGCCGATATATCGATATCTTTTTTTAATCCCTAATATCGGTATCGTTATCGGCCCCCAAAAAAAACCATATCGGTCGGGCTCTAATATAAAGTTAAACATAACTTTGTGCTCAGCAAAAACTATATTACCAGGAGCAAATAATATATTCATGAGACCACGGATGCCTGTTAAATATAACCAACAAAAAACTAATTGTATCATGTTTAATCACTACAGAGACATCAGAGCCAGCGGCAAATGTGGATACATGAGCACTGAGCACCCGGTGATCGCCTAGAGCTCCGAAATCGGCATAGCAAATTTTCAAATAGGCGCTATCTTTATAAATAAACAGCAGATTTGAGTTTTAAACAAGTACATTCTCGCCTGAAAAACTCTTAAAACTACATTTCATGACACAATAACAGTAATATTTATAAAATGACGCGGGTTTTTGGGCAATGACATTTCACAAGTCCACAAGAACAGACAAGAATGCATATTGAGAAACGGCTATTGTCTGTGTGAATTGTAAAAATATAAAATTATAAAATACACGGTTATTTTTTTGTGTTTGCGCACTCTGATGTAAATAAGCCCAACACTCATGGACAGCAGAGAGGAATGAGTGAAGGAGAAGCTTTATTCCCTTGTATCACACAAAAGTAACAATTCTAGTCAACCAATCAACGTTCTGCGGTGAGTTTAGCTCCACACTTTTGGTACCCTTTGCTGTGCTAGGTACCACAACGGAAGGGTACCAAAAAAGTGGTATGGTACGGTTCGCTATTTTGGTACCATTCACAACAGTGGAAACGGAAATAATTGCGTACCGTACTGTACTGTACCGAACCGTACCGCTCAGTGGAAACGACCTATAATATTCCCGTAACACATCCATTAAAACCTCTCCTTGACACATCTCTCGACTCTTTCTTCCAAGCAGTTTCTCCCAGAATCCTCCAGTCTTTCCTCACAGCATGGAAATATTTAAAAGCATTCCACCTCTCATTTAAGCTGCTTTTTCCTGATTTCTCCCTGCTCTCTATCAGATC